CTCCAGAATGTTTGAACAGCTGAAATTGGAAATATTGGGGAAGATGTTTTAGGTGCTTATGTATTTTCTGAATTCTGTTCCACTTTTAGATTTCCCTTTTTTCCCCCACAGTATTCTCACTTATTTTTTATTCTAAAATTAAGGTCCTTGCCAATGTATTTTTCAGTGTGAGTTTCTCAGTCACTTTGACTTTGTCCTCAGGTTGGAGCCCTACAACATGCCTGTTCTGGACATCCAGTCTGCATTCAGTCTCAAAGTCGTAATCCTTAATATTTGAGTCTTAGACCGGTTCTCTTATAGCTAAGATGAAGGGCCAAGGCCAATGGGATGAGGTTCAACAAGGCCAAGGGTTGAGTCTTGCACTTGGGTTGCACCAACCCCCTGCAGTGCTACAGGCTTGGGGCAGAGTGGCTGGAGAGCTGCCTGGCAGAAAAGGACCTGGGGGTGTTGGTTGACGGTTGGCTGAATATGAGCTGCCACTGGGCCCAGGTGGCCAAGAAGGCCAACAGCCTGGTGGCTTGTGTCAGGAACAGTGTGGTGAGTAGGACTAAGGAAGTGATCACCCCCCTGTACTCGGCACTGGTGAGACCCCACCTGGAGTACTGTGTTCAGTTTTGGGCCCCTCACTGCAAGAAAGGCATTGAGGTGCTGGAGTGTGTTCAGACAAGGGCAAGAAAGCTGGTGAGGGGTCTGGAGCACAAGTCTTATGAGGAGTGAGTGAGGGAGCTGGGGTTGTTCAGTCTGGAGAAAAGGAGGGCAAGGGGGAGACCTTATCACTCCCTACAACTACCTGAAAGGAGGTTGTAGTGAGGCAGGCATCAGTCTCTTCTCCCAAATAACAAGCAATAGGACAAGATGAAATGGCCTCAAGTTGCATCAGGGGAGGTTTAGGATCGATAATAGGAAAAAATTCTTCACTAAAAAGCTTGTCAAACGTTGGAACAGGCTGCCCAGGGAAGTGGTTGAGTCACCATCCCTGGAGGTATTTAAGACTTGTAGATGTGGTGCTTAGGAACATGGTTTAGTAGTGGTTTGGCCAGTGTTAGGTTGATGGTTGGACTTCATGATCTTAAAGGTCTCTTTCAACTTAGACAATTCTATGATTGTTTTCGCCTTGATCTTTTTAGCCTGAATTTTTTTGCCAAGGAACATTTATTTGATTTATTGTTAAAGACTATAAGATAAATATCTTTATGTAGTTGGGAGAGTATTTTGATATATCTTTTTTGGCAACTAATATAGAAACTTGTCACGTTTATCTGATTTCTTGAATTTCTCAGTTTTGGCTTAATTTGTAGTAATGTTTATGGGCAGTTGAAAGTGAAAGTAAGGATTTGTGGTGAAAACATGCTGGAAAGAGACAATAGTATGTAAAAACACAATGGGCTATAAGTGATGAAATGAAGGAAACGGTGTATTTTGTGGATGTTAATTTTGGCTATGTGAAATCCTTTATTTGTCTGGAGATAGTGCTGAAAATTCGCATCAGATAAGCTCTGAAAGCTGACTTGACATTTAGTGCACATGGGTGTTTTTTCACCCAGACATTTTACCATAGTTAAGTTAGATTGCTGATGATCCTGTCCTAATACGTAAAATACTATGCTCTGCTGTTTAGGTATGGAAGGTAGTCTGGTGGGCAGGAGAGCGGATTTGAGTTGGAAGCTCCCATGTTTTACACTGGAGGAGAATGCGGATATCATAGACTCCATAGACGCACCGGAGATGATGTATTTATGTACCTGAAAATGTGTTAGTGATCTGCAGATGAGGGGTCAGATCTTCTCACACGAGGGAAACTGGCAGCTCTCTAGCGTGGATCTGTACAGGCATGGATGGCTGCTGGGATGCACTACATTTGCAGAGGGTACAGAGCTGGTTTAGCAGGTATAACACCTTATCTGTTTTACAACTAGTCCTGAGTGAGCGCTGGGAGGGAGAAGTGTGTAAGTTCTTCCATGCCTGTTAGCTCTGGCTGTCATGGTATCCTCTTCAGAAGCCTGAGTAGAACAAAATGGACTTGGGAACTGAGGGTTACAGGAGTTATTGAAAGCTTGATCGTATCTTGTTGCCCTGAATCACTTGCTGTAGTTGGAGCAATTCTGAAGCATTTTCATATGTGCTTAGTATTGGTTTTATTTAGTATCTATGTTTTTTCCTTCCCATATTTTCCAGCTTGCATCTGCTTTTTGTTTTGTAAACATAACCCTGAGGTTAAATAAGTGTCAGAGATACTAGTGAGAACTTACAGCACTAAATGGTACATTTTCAAAGGTGTTTATTGTTGCAGTGACAAAGTAGCTTGCGCGTTTCTAAACTGCTGATAAGAAATTGTAAAAAGAAGCTGAAGGTCCACAGTAACAAAAAACACGGCTTTATTTTCATGCTTGTTATGGAGAAATACTTCCTCCCTTCCCAGTAAGTGCTTTTCAGGTAATATAAGTGTCAATGTTATCACAGATTCTGGCATCATACAGTCTCTCCCAATGTTTTGTTTTCTGTAACAAGTTTTATATCAGAAATGAAAATGATTTTATAGTCCTTTCATTTTTGAAAAAATGGGTCCTAAAATATGTACTGCTTGGTGGCTACTAAATACCGTGTCTTGACACAAATGCCCTGCAGAAACTTGTCGCCACTCTCAAAAGGTTAATTGATATTTCAGGATGTTGAATGTCTTCTAAGTAAACACAACCATCGCCAAATACATGTTATATTTTTCTTTCAAGAAAATAAATAGTCAGACCATTTTGAAGCCTTAGGCACCATGCTATTTGTTAATCAAAACTTGTTCTCATAAAACTATATTTAAAACAGGAAAGATACATGAATCATACTGGAAAACAAAGTAATGTTAAGGCAAAGCAATATGAAAAAAGAGTTATGGCTGCTGTTCAGCTATAAACTCAGGCCAGTGTGCTGCCACATATGTTGTATTTGTTCTGAGCCCTCTGCAATATTCCTGGATAGATGTGTACTAAAAGTGAAATAGAAGACATAAATTTGAATTTCTTTACTTAGGATGTTTTGTTCTTCGTGCTACACACAGTACACTGTTTAATGGCTTTAGAAAAGTCTTAGAAGTTGGGTGTCCTAGGACACTGTTCTTGTTTTATAATCCTGGATAAGCTGCTACCTGGTCTAAAGTTTGGTTTCCATACTACTATAATAAACTGTTTAAGTAACTGATGGAAAGTCCTTTCTAAATTGATAGTCTTGAACCTTAGTGACAGCAGTATGAACCATTGCGTTCCAGAGCTTGCCCACTCTCCGTGTTTGACCTTAGTGGTTTTGTGTTTTATCAAACCTAGGTAGTACTGTTTCCTGTTGCCTGCTTTTGGCTGCTCCCACCACTAGCACTTAAGTCAGCATTTGGGTCCATAAAAAATTTGACAATAATAAATTTTGATATAGTTCTTTAACTGAACTGAACATCTTTCTTATCTAAAACCTAAAGTAAGGCAAGATCTTCATGCTCCTGAGAGAAACAGAGGTAATTTCTTTACTTAATTTTATTGAAGTTTGTGGCAAGAAAAATGTTTTCCAGCTGTGTCATTCTGGTATAATTTCTGGGAAGATCCCAGATACTGGCCAGCACAGGGGCGTAGCGTGTAGTGTGCGTGCTTTCATTGATTTCATAGTTATAAACTTGCTTATTTTTACCACAGAGTGAAGCCTGAATAGGGTCATTTATTGCAGAGCAGCTGACAGACTGCAGGCAGACCTGCTGACTTCTTTCTACTGTCTTGTTCCTGTAGCTGTAGACAAAGTCAGCCTGAGACTGTCCGTGTCTTTCCGTTAACTTTGTTTGGCCTTGGCAGTGGTGGTTAATTGGTCATGATACGTAATTTGTCTACCGGTATGCTTACTCGTATGGCTTTCCGTGTGTGTTACATAATTGGTATAAAACCGATGCAATATACAAAGAAACGCAATATAACATACAGCATAAACGTAAATGGTAGAGCTGCAATAAGTTTTGTAAGTTCTGTCTTTGAGCTGTGCCCGTGGAAGATGTTTCTGCCCCTCGCTCTCCTCTTTAGAGATTGCTGTGGCTGTAGGAGGTAAGGCATGTATTGGCTTCTCTGCTCTCCACGGTACAACGCCTCAGCTGTTGATGATTTTAGCAGAATTTTTGGACTGGTAAGAGATTACCCAAGATGTAGCACGCTTTCACTTTTATGAAGTCAGCCACAATATTTACTAGCAGAGGAGAGACACTAGATTAAAAAGAACTTGTATGCAGTTTAACTTGCCAGATGGTAAGACTTTATATTTCTACTTTTCTTTATTCAAGAAGGCCAGGTAGGTTATTTTGTGAAAGACTTGTACTTCTGTTCTTGCATGCTTCATTTATGCATGAGGTGTAGCTTGATAATGTTTGAATATCATTTTAGATTAATGATTAAAATGCAATTTGAAATGTATTTTTGTGTCACTTCCCATTAAAAATTCTGTTGCTCGCATGCTTAACTGGTTTTTGGCTTTTCAGTAGTAACAATTTAAGAAGCAGCACAGAATTATTTTTTGCCATTAACATCTGTGTATGGTAGAACACACATGAGTAGATCTGTTGATTAAGAAATTACCATTTTTAGCTGGTTTATCATTTATTGGTAATTTTTTTCTTTTTCCTAAAATTAAAATAAATATGAAATGAAGTTGAATGCACAACTTTGCAGATAAGGTAAATTCCCCTTCCTTGTGGAAGTTTATTTTGGATCCTTAGTTGTATTTTATGGGTTGGTTCCAGCAGATCTGAGGCATATGAAGTCGCTTTATTTTGGGTGGTCACAGGCAGTTTGAACTGATAAATTTGGCAAGAGAGAAGCAAATCTGTCTTGGACTCCAGGAGGATTTGCAGATTGTGCGTTGTGTAAAAATGCTTAACGTTTGTAGAGCCTGACATCGTGTTCACTGATACAGACCATTCACAATATTGAAAGCTGACACGAGTGCTTCTGTACCATCTGATTCTAATCTAAATTTGTGTTTTATAGCTTGAAACAATTGGATGGCAGCTGAATCTTCAAATGGCAGAGTCCATGCAAGCGAAACTGAAGTCTCCTCGGGCTGTGCTAGAGCTGGGAGTGAGCAATGAAGATTCAAAGGTAAGAAATACATGCCTGGCAGAGTTGGAATGAGTTGCGGTGGTGGCCTTTTGTTCCAAGTTCTGAGGCATCAGTTGGAGCTCTTGATCATTGTTAGTCTCGCCACTGTTTTCATTTATATATTTCATAAAATTATAGTAAGCGCTTGGAATTGTTAAGTACTGATGTAATAGAATACACACTAAGTAGACCAAGCGCTGTGTTACCAGCTCTTTGGGCTGTAACATAATAGAGAAATGTGGAATATGGTTATTTTAGATCGCTAAAATATCTTTGTAGATAATCTATTTTTATCACATAGCATGTAATTGGTACTTACACTTTTAGTGCCTGGTAGCTTGCAGCCTTCTACCATGTGTGTAGTTATGTAAGATATTACTCATTACTTGCAACCTCTCTGTGCTAGTGATGTATTTATATGAATGATGACATAGTATTTGAGGCCACAGAGAGCCAATATTTGGAGGTTTTTAAGGTAAAGTCTTAGGTTCAAGGATTTTAGTGACTGATGGTGGTTCAGCGCCAAAACCCACTAATGACCTTAATTTTTTCTTCATAAAACAGTATTTTTTGTTAGCTAACATGTTTTAAATTAAACACATGAATTGCTTTTAACCTTATCTTGCTAATGGAAATTGCAGTCTTTACTTCTGTGGTGTCTGTCAGAATGTTTATCTATGAAAAAGTCAGTATAAAAGATTTGAGGGGAAAAATCAGAACTCAGCTTTAGCATTACATTTAAATCACAGTAATTTTACTAATGTGAGTGGAATTTCTGAGTTATAGTAGAATAAAAGAGCATACACAGTTTATGTTTGTGCTTCTCACCAGGACTTGCAGCAGTTATATTTTTTTTTTCAGCAGTTCACTGCAGTCTGTATTTTTTAAATGCAAATACAGGAACCAGACAATATTTTATGTCCAGGCTGCATTGGGCAGCACTGCATACAGTTTCAGTTCTGTGGCAAAACAATTTTAAAACAAATGAGGAAAAAATGTCACTTTCACATGACACAGAAAGTTCATCTATGTCTGGACAAAAGAACTGAAAGTTCCTTTACAAACAGAATTCAGCAAATGGATTTTTTTTTTTTATTGTTTCCTCTCTTTCTCATTGTGGGTATAATTAGACACCAAGTTCAGAACTATTTTGCAATAGTTAGTAGCATAGAATAGACTTGTAACTGGCATTTACATGGAACAGGGCAACAAGAAAAACATACCGATGCTCGCATACTACAGACACTAAAATTTAAAAATCTTAGTCGGTCTGCAGGTTTTTTCCCTGAGTGATTACATTCTAGTATAGAATAGGTTTAAGATTGGCTAATACAGGCTTATATACTGACAGAAGTGTTGGAGTGTAATTTTTGTGCTGCATTTTTGCATCTTCATAATCTTTGTGCACTAAGTATTATATGAAAATCTTAGATACTAGGTAATTCTTTTTTTTTTCTCCCCAAACTTATGTGTGTACCTTTTACACAGAAATTTGGCATGAAGTTAGCATATATATTCTTAATGATCGTCTTCATTTCTCACAAAACTTTTTCCCTTTTTTTTTTTTTTTATAATTCATGGATATAACAAATATTTTTTTCAGGAAAGACAAAAGCTGTTACAGAGGAGCTTTTGTGAGCTGGCTCATTAGGGGGCAGTAGTGCTCTTTCTCACACTGGCTCTTTGAATGCTTTTTTCATATCGTTCTCGGAATCAATTCTTAAGTCAGTCGTTGTAGGAAGTGTTAAGTGTTTACACTTCTAATCTGTATATAACAATAGAAGTTTGTCTTGCTCATCTACAAAACTAAAGTCTGTTAAAAAGAAAACCCGTACTGAGCAAGGCAAATGACATTGGCTGTTACTTCCACTTTTGCTAACTAAAAGTAATTGTACTAATACATTAATGTTTACTACAGCTCGTTCCACTTAAAGATCATTTAAACAGTTGTCAGAACTTGACATTTAAAATTAGTATTTAAATTATCTTTCCAGGAGAGGTAATCAGAAAACCTGTGGATATATGAGTGTTATTTAGCTTTGTAAAATGAAAAGAGTAAGAGGTATCTGCTATATGCTATATAAATATTTATAGAGTATATTTTGTCAGCTTCAGATGAAATGCAGAGTCCCATAGGTATTATGTCATCAAAATTTAAAAGTAAGGTGGTCTTTGGTTCTTTCATGTGATTCAAGCTGTAGTGACATTTGCAGTGCCCAGGATTATTTCAGCTGCTTCTGACTAGTAGAAATTCTGATCATATCCCATGATTTTTAATAAACTCTTTTTTTTTTTACTGGGCTTTGTTAAAAAAAAAAAAAAAGGTGTTTGCTTATATGCAGACTTTATGCTTGATTTGGATCTAACAAGTATTTTGCACATGCCTTGAAAAATTTTTCACCAAGGGGGTGGTTAAGTACAGAAATGAGTTACTTAGAGAGGTTGCAGAGTTGCCAGCCTTGGAGATACTCAGGAGTCAGTGGGACGAGTCCCTGAGCATCCTGGCCGGGACGTGGAGTTTGGAGTTAGCCCCGCTGCGAGCAGGGGATGGATCAGGTGGGCTGCTCACCCCTGCCTTCCAGCCCATGCTGTCCTGTGATCTAGGCTGCTGTGCAGCTCGGTTGCTGCTGGTGTTTTGTATGAGGAGGAATAAAAAGGAGCTTTCAATTAAAAATCCAATTAACAGCAGCTTCTTATAATGATTCAGGATTTGAAATGTTTAATTGCGTTTCTAAATCTGAGGGAAGTGGAATTTCTATGAACTAGGCACACAAAACAAGCTGGTATGATAGGAAACATCTTTGTGAACTGCTTCGGTTCTGACATTTTAACGAGCTAAAGTGACATTTAGAAACGATGTGTAAGATATCGGCTGTGTGGAAGGGTTTTCTTTAATAACATAATTTGGTTTCAGATCCTTTGGGCTGCTCAGTTGCAATGCAACAATCTGGGTATTTTTTACAGAATATTATTATTTTTATGGCTATGCAGTGAATAAACCAGTAGAGGGAGCACAGATTAACAATCTTAGTATTCTGTGCTGCTAATTATGATTTTGATTTGCAAACAAAAACTGATCCCCAAAAGTGCTGTTTATTTAACATTTGTTTCCTTCAGTAATTTATTTAACAATTACCCGCATAGGCACACACTTTCACATTCTGGTCTACTGTTAATAGCAGTAATTCCTTAGACTGTCTAGTCCAGACCTTTCTAAAGAACTGTGATCATTTTCTATAACCATAGGAGACATACAAAAAAAATTGTAGTAAAAGCTGTAGAAAAGGTCTGAGGGCTTCAAAAATGTCACATCATCGGTGCATAATATCTCTGTAGAGGAATGTGAGAAGTAAGGTGATGTTCTTGAAGAACCTCTACTAGACCTCTTCACTAGGAATATCCAGTAAGGTGTATTACTATATAGGGTATTTATTGTTGGGTATTTTCACACATGATCTACACTTAACGTTTATGCTTGAAAATCATTGCGAAGAGGAACTACTCTTGCCCAGTGTTGTCTCTTGATAGTTATCCAAATTTTTTCTGCAAATCCACTCCACAGGTTTCATTAGATTCTGCTATCTAATTGCAGTTTTTCCGATGGAAGGCTTTGCTTTTTTATTGGTTTTCCTTCTCTATATTTCATCTTTGATTTTATTCTTGACCATTAAGGACTTTTTGAGGGAGTTGTTTGTTTTTTCAGTGTGAATGCTATGTATAGATTCCTCATGAGAATTCAATACTTAGTTTATTTTGTTCCTTCTCTATACGTATATTTTCAGAATTTTGTTAGAGGATTTTTGTCTGCCAGTACAAGATAAAAAATAACTGATATATGTACTGGTTTGTTAAACCTGCTAATGTAATACTTCTGACAAAGGACAGATAAGATGTTACTATACTGGTTGAATTAAAAGGAAATAAAACTAATTTCCCCTAAGTTCTAGATCCTTTAAAAGAAGAATATGAAAGTGAAAATATTTTAAACTATTTTTTCTGCAACTGTTCAAAATCAAAACGAGGTCTGACTGCATTTGAAACTGAGATTGTTATACATATTCATCATTCTACAGAGTAAACAGAAGTCTGGAAATCTTAACTGATTATTTCTTACTTGTTAAAATAACAGGACGTGGTTTTCTTTTTTCCTCTTTTTTGTTCTTGTTTGTTTGTTTACAGACTTCTATACATTTCTGCACTGTGAACAGATCTAGGCTTTGGATGTTTTGCTCTGTCTATTTCAATAAGTATGCCATTTTGCTTTCTAAGGTTGCCATTGTGAATATTTTCCCTGTCTTTAACAGCAAGCAGAGTAGATGAGGAACAAAGCTTTTCCGCTAGCAAAGTGAGGTCAATCACTCAATTCAGGCTGTAGATTCTGTGCAGCCTGTACGGCATGCAGGCAGGACCTGAACTTGGAGGGATATTTAAGGAAATATGGTGGTGCTTCCTCTTCCCCCTCTGTTTAGCCCTTTGTTTCCCTCTGAAAAGAAGTTATATTTGTGGAGTGGCATAACAGTGAGAGTTGGTGGATGCTAGTGATATGTTCCCACTCCAGAGAGGTAGGAGGTGGCAGAGCTGAGCATCTATACCGTGATATTCTCCCCTTCATTTTCCTTCTCAGTCCTCAGCTTTCGGGGTGATGCATTTAGGTGAATTTTTTTTCCAAAATAGAGGAGTAATTCCTATCTGTAGGGCCTTGAAAAAAGAGGGCAGATAAAATACATGGTGCTGAAGGAACTGTGGTTAGGTGCGAAGACTAAACAACTGTAAATTGCTTCTGAGGTTCATCAGCTACTTCTTAACCACTTTCTGTTCTGATCGCCCTTTTCCTTCTCAGAACACAAACAAGCTTACATGTACACCCTTGAACTGAGTTTAGTCTTCTTATCAAGCAGATATGTAAGTCTATAGCCATTGCAAAAATAAGTAGGACAGGCCTTGGATTAATGCAAAAATGTTTACAGATGAAATTGAGAGAAGAGGGTTTTTCATTCCTA